CTGGCTGTTGTCAGATTATTTCCTAAAGTGTTTATCTTACTAGTTTACACTCCCAACAGCGGGGTAAACAGAAACCCAAATAGCCCGCAAACTTATGAAGAGTGGCCAGCCTCTCTAGTAATCAGGGCGGGGCAAATTAGAACAGCTCGGAGAGCATTTCACACTTAGCAGATCTGCAAAAATTCAAAAGTCTGCCATTATCAAGTGTCGACAATATATTAAATTACTGAGTCAGGAATATCTGGTTGAAGAAATCTAGAGCAGGCAGCTGGGAAGAAAAAAAGTAAAATGAAAAACAAGCCCTAACCACGGAGCCCCAAGGCCCATTTGCCCTTGAGGAAATAATGTCAGATTCTTATTTTAAGAGTCATGGAAGGAAGACTGTGTACATTTTGGAGTGGAAAGGAGGATATTTAGAGAATAGATTTAAAACCTACTCGTTTGGTTTTTGAGAGTTTTTAAAACTTTTTTCCAGCTTTATTGAGATATTACTGACATTTAACATACGTGGGCTTAAGGTATACCATGTGATGGTCTGATGCGTGGATGTGTTGTGAAATGATGACCACAATAAGGTTTGTTAGTACCTCCAACCCCTCACATAATTGCCTTCCTGTGTGTGGTGATAACTTGTTTGTTTGTTTGAGGAATATTAGCCCTGAGCTAACATCTGTTGCCAATCCTCCTCTTTTTGCTGAGGAAGACTGGCCCTGAGCTAACATCCGTTCCCATCTTCCTCTGCTTTATATGTGGGACGCCTGCCACAGCATGGCTTCATAAGCGGTGCCTAGGTCTGCACCTGGGATCCGAACCGGCAAAGCCCGGGCCACCGAAGCGGAACTTGCAAACTTAACCACTGTGCCACTGGGCCAGCCCCTGGTGATAACTTTTAAGATCTACTCTCTTCCCTTTCAAGGATACAGTACAGTATTGTTAATTATAGTCACCATGCTGTACGTTAGATCCCCAGAACTTATGCGTCGTATGGCCGGAAGTGTGTTCTCTTTGACCACTTTCACCCATTTCCCCCACCCCCCTGGCCTGGCCACCACCAGTCTACTCTCTATTACTTCAAGTTTGGCTATTTTGGATCCCACTTATGGGTGAGAACATACAGTATTTGTCTTTCTCTGTCAGACTTATTTCACTTAGCACGATGCCCTCAAGGTCCATCCGTATTGTCGGGAAAGGCAAGATTTCCTTCTTTTTTATGGCTGAATGACATTGTATATACACACCACATTTTCTGTGTGCATTCATCTGTTCAGGGACACTTAGGTTGTCTCCAAGTCGTGGCTATGGTAAATAATGCTGCAATGAACATGAGGGTGCAGAGAGCTCTTCAAGGCAGTGATTTTATTTCTCTTGGTTGTATACCCAGAAGTGGAATTGCTGGGTCATATGGCAGTGCTATTTTTAATTTGAGGAACCTCCATACTATTTTTCCATAGTGACTGCACCAATTTACGTTCCCACCAACAGTTCCCAAGGGTTCCCTTTGCTCTGCATCCTCGCCAACACTTGTCTCTTGTCTTTTTGATAATAGCCCTTCTAACAGGTGTCAGGTGAGATCTCATTGTGGTTCTGATTTGCATTTCCCTGATGACTACTGATGTTGAGCTCCTTTTCACGTACCTGTTGGCCATTTGTATGTCTTCAAAATATCTAATCAAGTCCTTTGCCCATTTTTTCATAAGATTGTTTGTAAAACCTTCTACTCTTTAAAACAATTCACTTTAAGCCTGTTTCTCAGGTTTCTTTATGAACAATATAATAATAAAATATATATTTCACGATATAGCATATTAAGAACTCAGAACCCAAATCTACCTAAATGCTGTTTACAAGATGCACACTTAAAAGGATGCAGGACAAAAATAAACAGTGGAAAAGTAAAGAGAGGGACAGTGATCCCAGATAAAGCAAGATTTAAAATAGAAGCATTGATTGAGGCAAAGATACTTTTTTTATTAACGAGGGGAAGCCATAATGAAAATATAGCCTTCTATATTTATATATATTAATGGGAATGAGTAGCTTCACGTCAATGTATATGAAGAAAACCTGTTTAAATTCTATAGTGAAACTGATTGGAGCACCATGGTAGTGGGAAGCTTTGACTCATCTTTCTCGAGATTTCTCAGCTAAAGCAGTCAAAACAGTGTATTGAATAGACGCAGAGAGAAATGTGTACGTTACAGAGTAAACATTCTTTCAGATGTCCATGAAAATTTTACAAAAATTGATCGTATCCTAAGCCATAATGAAACCCTCAATACCAAACAGATAAAATTCTAGGAGTCATGTTCTCTGACCCCAATAACAAAAGGATACATCCCATAAAGACTCTTTTCCAAATAACTTTAGGATAAAAAGGAAAATCAAGTCTTCAGTTGTAGAATATTTTAAAAATATTTATATGATGCAGCTAAAATCCTTCTCAGGGGGAAAAAAATCATAGTTACAGAGCAGGGCTTCTCATCCTCAGCACCACTGACATTTGGGATACATAATTCTTTATTGGGGGGGGGTGTCCTGTGCATTGTAGGATGTTTAGCGGCATCCTTGGCCTCCACACTAGATGCCAGTAGCACCCCCGTACACACACCAGGCACTTGTGAAACCAATGTCTCCAGGCATTGCCACGTGCCTCCTACACACCAAAGAACTCTGCCCCAGATACTTCTGTTATTAAAAAAGAAAAAGTGAAAATAAGTAAATTGTTTAATTTGAAAAGCTAGATAAAAAGCAATATTTGATACCTGTAGTCAACATTAATAGAGAGGAAGGAAAAATTTAATTAATCATCAGAAAAGTTGTTAAATTGGATTTTTTAAAAATATAAGAACTGGTTCTTTGGATAGACAGTTAAAAATATATAAACTTTTCAGAAGGAAACATTTAAAAAGCAGTATACATTCACAATACTATAATTGTAAGTGGGGATTTAACTACAAATGCCATAGAGAGGTTAGAAATATGTATGATAATATTATCCCAGTGGTGTGCTGTTAGTGTTAAAATCTGGATGAAGTAGACAATTTTCTGAAAATATATATATAATTTACCAAAACTAAATCATGAGAATATGGAAACTAAAATAGACCTATGAACCATGGAAAATATTGTGAAAATCAATCTTTCAAGAAGCACTGGACCTCAGATGGTTTTATGGATAAACTCTTTTATTTCTTTAAGAAAAATAGAATTTTTAGGTTATTTTTGCTGTTCCAGGACATAAAGAAAAAGGAAAACATCTCAGTTCTTTTTCTAAAGCTGACTGTAACACAAATGCCCACATTTGACAAAAATAACCCTAAAAAAATGAAAATTCAGAGAAACGTAAAAAAGAAAGTTCCTGAGAAATGAAGACACGCCAGACAAATTCAAACAAATACATATACAGGCAAAGAGAGAATGTTAATATCAAATGCCACTGAATTCAAGGCAAAAATGAGACATTTTATAGTAATATTAAAGTTCATCCCATAATGAAGATATAATTGCCAGTTTTCTTTTTGTGATAAAAACCAAGATCAAATTCCTAAAACAAAAACTTCAAACATTAAGGGAGATTTTAATGGAAGCAGAAAAGTTGTAGGCAACTTAGATAAGCCAAAAAGTAAGACAGGAATCGAAATACTACCATCCCCACTGATCGAATAGATAAACGCGATACTGTTATATTAATCTGCCGACACAGCTTACCCTTTGCTTCCCGGAACTGTGGCATAGATACAAAATTTGGACATTTTGGGGTCCTTAGGGAAACCTTAATAAATTCTCAAAGGTGCAAATAGTACAAACCATATTCTTTGATCACTTTTATTACTAGAAATTAGTAGCAAAATGAAGAGAAACAAACAGAAATTAACCTCTTAGAAATTTCAAAACTTCTGAAATGACTGTTGGATAAAAGAGAGAATTAAATAAATTAAATAAATACATAAAAAACAATAATGAAAACCTTACATGGTAAAGTCTCTGAGAAATGTTCAAGTCACACTCAGAGGAAAATGTGTAGGAGAAGGAGAAGTGATAAATTTGAGATTTGATTCTTTTGAGGAGAAAAAAAAAATCCCACATAATAAAGTGGAAAACCCATGTGCTTGCCTAATGAAGAAAAACTGAGAGGAAAACACAGATACTCGACATGAGAAATTAGAAGGGAAAAATAACCACAGATGCAGAGGAAATAAAAATAATTATGAGCATGCAAATTGGTATGCCTCACTGAACAGTGTGTGTGCGTGTATATAGTGTTTAGGTGAAAAGTACACACTATTCTAAATATGTGTTTAGTGTGAAAAATGCCTGTGTGTAAAAAATAGCCAATTAGAAAATATCATAGGGAATAATTTTAATAAGAAAATTGCTGACCTATAGGAAGAAAAGTGCAAAATTTTATTAAGGAATTTTTTTATATTATGTATTTAACAAACCTTTATACGATATAGGACTTACTCTGTGCCAGGTGCATTTAATCCTTAACAACACTAGAAGGTAGATTTAATTATTATCTGCACTTTTCAGATGAAGAAACTGAGGCACAGAGAGGTTAAGTAACTTGGCCAAAGTCACCAAGCTGTCAAACACAGTCGGCTTCCAGCATCTGTGCTCTTTGCTCTCATGCTGCATAGTGAATAAATTCAGAGACACACTGGGTTCCAGGAAGGAAGACTCAGTATCATAAAATGATCCATTCACAGCTGGACTGAGCTCTCTGGCAAAGGCCAGAATGCTGACCGCCTGTGTGGGGTGAATGTCAATAGGATGGTAAACCGTCAAGGAGCTGTAGGCCCCCCGTACGTGCACTGAATCGTGCAAAATAGAATGGGGGCTCGCCCCTCGGGGATCCATGGGGAAACCACAGCTCAGAGTGGAGCCAGCCACCCACCACCTCTCATCCACATGCCCCTCCTCTGGGCGTGATGTGCAGATGTGATGGGGTGGCAGGGCGGGTCCTTTCTAACACAAAATGCCCTGTCTTCCTCTCTTAGATCCAGGAGATGGTCCACTCGGAGGTTGCTGCCTATGACTCGAGCCGACCAGGGCCCCTGCTGAGCCGCCCGGCGATGCTGGCCAGCCACATGAGCGCCCTCAGCCAGTCCCAGCTCATTTCTCAGATGGGCCTCCGGAGCGGCATCGCCCACAGCTCCCCGTCACCTCCAGGGAGCAAGTCAGCGACCCCCTCTCCCTCCAGTTCAACTCAGGAGGAGGAGTCGGAAGCACATTTCAAGGTACTGTAGCGGTGGAAATGCAAAGCCTTAAGACTGAGCTCTCCTGTCAGCAGGGGGCTGGGCCTCTAGAAGAGTAGAGGAAGCAGACGTAGAATGGGGACAGCTAGTGGAACCCCTGGTCAGCGGGAACGGCACCTATTGGGGTTTGGAAAACCTGGCTTCAGCTGCTAAATTTGCGGAGCATCCTTGACGAGCTTTGCCCCTCTGTGCTCCCAGGGCCTGAGTGTAAAGCAGAGACAACACCAACAGATGTCAAGAGGATGGGTGAGAAAATTCTGTGAAAACATGATGTCTTTTTCCTGAATGGCCAGTGGGTCATTTCAGTGGCATAGATGGCATGGGAAAGATCCTCAGGGTCACGTCCTATGGCCACTTTGGCCTTTTAAGCAAAAATACTCTGACAAAAATGGGCAATCCAGCAGAGGGCACCTCTGGGCAGCACTGACCACATGACAGAGCACTAAAAAAAAAACCCTCATTGAGGACATGCCTCCCCCCTGCAGCAGCCCTGAAGCCGGGATCATCCTGCCTCTTCAAGCACACGTCAGGCATGAGAGCTCATCACCGTCCAGGCTCTGGTCCTTTCTTTGCACTGACCCCAAATCTGCCTCTCTGTTGGAGAGCATCTTGCTTTACTGGGGCAGAAAACAGGGGCCCAGGAAGGCCAAGGATGGAAGTGATTGCTGGGGGTCTCCCACGGGGCTAGTGGCAGAATCAAGACTTGATCCCTCAACGTCCTGCTGCCCTCAGTATGGTGCCCTTCCTTCTTCATAAGGGCTTCTCACCCTTTTCCGTGGCCTTGCAGAGGCCTGGGCAGTAACCATGGCACTGCACCATCTACCAGAGGCCCTAACCTCGTGAGCTGGGGTGGGCACCTCTGGGTCCTGGTCCAGCTTCATCCCCAGGATAAGTTGGTCTCTACGTAGGCCACGCAGGGGTGGTTTTTATTTTACAAAAATGTCTAAAACATTTCCCACGGGCCAGACACTGTTCTAAGCGCACAACAAGTAGGAGTCCGTGTAATCCTCATTGCAACCCCATGTGGTAGGTGCCATTAGTATCGCTGATTGGCAGATGGGGAAACTGAGGCACAGAGAAGTTAAGTAACTTATCCAGTGTCACAGAACCAGACTTCAAACCGAGGTGGTTGCAGTCTGGCCCCAGCATAGGTGCTCTTAACCACCTGCAATTCTGCGTCTGCTCAGCTCTGCATCACTTACAGGTACATTGTGTCCCTTATCCTGCGTTAGGGCCTCCCCACGGTGCTGACAGCACCGAGGCTTGGAGAGGTGCTGGCTGCGGAGGAAGGCTCAGGAACAGAACTGCCCTTGCTACAGATTGCCCCTCACTGTCCCTCAGACATGGAGGCCAAGTCTGTCTGCTGGCCACGGTTTCCTTGGGGTCACCTTCATCTTCTTGGTGCATAGAGCCAGTCTTCTCTGCAGCATGCAGGACCTTTGACCAAAGCCCCTGATCCCTGTGTGGCCTGAGGGTCCTGTCAGTGAGCCCCCGAGGTCTGTAGTGAGCGTTTCCATCCCCTCCCCACCCTGGAAGCCCCAAGTCAGGTGCTTGCACGATTGTGGTCTGGAGCTGGACTGCTCCAGAGGCCAGGTGTCCAGGGTGAGGCCACACCAATGACAGTCACACTAACCTCACTGCCATCCAACCACTTCACAGGGGCCACAGCGGGCTAAGCCCCCTGCCCCAAGTTGCACAGCTAAAATGTGGTGGAGGAGACCGAGCCTTTGTAATCGAGCATAATCTCTGGGGGTTATTTTTGATCATAAGAGGGGTCAACTGTTAAGAAAAGATATCTATCCAAAACTTGGAAATAGGTCAAAAAACAGTGACTGCACATTATTTCAATGGTGTCCACAGCATTGTCTAGCAGGTTCACTCAAGACTTCTCTGATTCCCGCGGAGAAGGTACCTATGTTTTGATTCGTTGTTCGTTATCGATTAGGGGGTTTCACACTCTATGAAGACAGACGTTCACTTGGGGAAAAAGTGACAGAGAGGTAAAGGATTTTTGTCTGATTACAAGGCAAATTAATTTTCCCCTGTAGAGATGCAAATGACTTCTGTCCAGTAGAAAAGATTTAAAATTCCTAAAAGGTATTAACCAGTTTCTCTGGATCAACTTTACCATCATGCTGATTCTCAATGAGTTAAATAAAAAACCCAGGACTCCTACCCAGGACGTGTGTGTGTGTGTGTGTGTGTGTGTGTGTGTGTGTGCGCGCGCGCGCACACACGCGCGGGTCCATTTCCGCCCCCACCGAGTGGGTGGTTAGCCCTACACTGTGGCCCAAGCTGCCTGTGTTCAAGCCCGGGGCGGTGGCCAGCCAGCCCCCCATCATTGCCCGTGCAGTGGGCTGGACAAGCCTGTGGTGGGCCTGCTGAGAAAAGTCCAGCTCTGCCTGAGATTGGGTGGGTCCCCCTGGCAGGAGGCCCTGGGCCTCTCTGGTTTTCTGACTCCTCTCACCCTGGCAGATGTCAGGAGAGAAGAGACCCTCGGCTGACCCAGGAAAAAAGGCCAAGAACCCAAAGAAGAAGAAGAAGAAAGACCCCAACGAGCCCCAGAAGCCCGTGTCAGCCTACGCGCTCTTCTTCAGAGACACCCAGGCCGCCATCAAGGGACAGAACCCCAGCGCCACCTTCGGGGATGTGTCCAAAATCGTGGCCTCCATGTGGGACAGCTTGGGAGAGGAGCAGAAACAGGTGAGTCTCCGTCCTTTTCTGAGCCATCCCCTGAGGCTTTGAGGCCCTGGCACCAAAGACAGACAGGAATGTCTGAAACAAGACCTGGCCTCTGGAACTAGCCTCTTGCAGAGGTCTTTACTGGGCTCAGTTTCCCCGTCTGTAAGCTGGGAAGTTAGGTCCCTTCCAATTCTGCTTTTTCCAGCTGCGTTCAGTAGTGACCTAACCATCCTGGACCTCTGCTTCCTCATCTGTCAATTGAGAACAAGCATCTCTATCTATCTTGTCCCTCCAACTCTGACAGTCTGAGGTCCAGGCCGGAGCTTGCCTGTCCCCCTGCCCATATGCCTCTGGCCCCCTCTGAAGGGCCTCTAGGGGGAAGAGGGAGCAGAACCAGCTTGTAGGCAAATGCTGGGTGCCAGCTGTGTGACCTCAGGCTCATCACCCAGCCTCTCCCCGGTGTTGCCCTGTCTTGGATCTTTCAGGCCTACAAGAGGAAGACCGAGGCGGCAAAGAAGGAATATCTGAAGGCTCTGGCTGCCTACAGGGCCAGCCTTGTCTCCAAGGTAACACCTGGGGTTCCTGGACACAGTGCTGGTAAGAGGGGGCCCCTGCAGGGATGGAGCAAGAACAGAGGCCCACGGTCAACTGAGGCCCACTGAGGTCAACACCATAGGTCTTGGAAAGGATGGGTAAGACCAAGGTGGTCACTTCTCAGTGTGCCTACTGTGTGCCAGGCTCATGTGGGGTACTTGACATGCATGTCATTTCATTTAATTTTTCCAACAAGAACCCAATACTCAGAGGGGTTAAGCAACTTGCCTGAAATTCTCCAGCCTGTTAGGCGCCTGTCCTGGGATTCAAACCCAGTTTTGTCAGTCTTCAAATCTGGCCTTCACTCCTGACCACACCATCTGCCTCCTCAGTCAGCACCAGCGCCACAGGAGGCTCAGTGCGATGGTGGATGTGTGGCCCAAGCAGGGCAGGGGTGTTGTCTGGAAGCTGTTACAGAGGACATGGCTTCTGGGCTAGGCCATAAAGGGCCAAGCAAAGAGTGTTCCATGTCGAGGGAACAGCTCTTGCAAAGGCATAGAGGCTGGGGAGGAGCATCAATAGAGGCTGGCCCAGTGGAATCATTCTGCCTCACTGGCCAGGCTGAGGAGCGTGGGCTCCCCCGCAGGCAGGGGGGCCCCTGGGGTTTAAAGAAGGGGTGGTTGGATGGTCAGAGCCAAGCGTCCTGAGGACCCTGCATGATCTCTGGTTAGTCCACAGCTCTCCCCCAAGGGGCCAGAGAGCCAGCCAGGGGCCATGTCAGTGGCTTGCAAAGCCAGCTGGCCTCACGGCCCACATTCTGGCTCATCCACCTGCTCTGGAGTGACTGGTGTCTGTCTCCCTTCAGAGCTCCCCGGACCCGGGGGAGACCAAGAGCACGCAAGCGAGCCCTCCGGCCAAGATGCTCCCACCCAAGCAGCCCATGTATGCCATGCCAGGCCTGGCCTCCTTCCTGACTCCATCGGACCTGCAGGCCTTCCGCAGCGGGGCCTCTCCCGCCAGCCTCGCCCGGACTCTGGGCTCCAAGTCGCTGCTGCCAGGCCTCAGCGCATCCCCGCCTCCGCCACCCTCCTTCCCGCTCAGTCCCCCGCTGCACCAGCAGCTGCCTCTGCCCCCCCACGCCCAGGGCGCCCTGCTCAGTCCCCCTGTTAGCATGTCCCCAGCCCCCCAACCCCCTGTCCTGCCCACTCCCATGGCACTCCAGGTGCAGCTGGCTATGAGCCCCTCACCTCCAGGGCCACAGGTAAGCAGGGCGCAGTAGGAACTGCCCTTCTGGGACCCCCTGTGGAGAGGGGAGGCAGCTTGGGATTTCACATACTGGGCCTGCCACTCACCACCTGGGTAACCTTGGCCAAGGCGCCTTACCTCTCTGAGCCTCAATTACCACATCTGTGAAATGGGTCTAGTACATCTCACCCGAGATGGACTGGCTGCAGTGAACAGTTGACGAGTTGCCAGACAGACTCTTGACACTCTTAGGGTGTCCCAGGCCTGCCTTCTCTCATCCTCATCCACTTCCGCTCTCTGGCCCGAGGGGCTGGGGCCACTGTGGCTTCTGCCAGATCAGCCCCAGCCCCTGTCTGAGCCATCCACAGACACTGTTACAAGACTTGCATGGCCCTGGGAGGTCATTCAGCCCAATAACTCCATTTTACAAATTGGGAAACTGAGGCCCGGACTAGGAAAGGCCCTGAAAGCAAAGTCCTTCACCCCCTCCTGCAGCTAAGGGCTGAACTTTTCAAAAGGTGCTCTAGTGGGAAAAGGAAGACGCCTCCCGGTGGAGAGGCAGAGTGGAGATTTTGTGCAAGGGAGGAAGTGTCCCTGCGAACCCCTCAGGCGCATGTACCTCCTGCGCCCTCTCCTCGGCTCACCGGCCTCCTTTCCCTGGCAGGACTTCCCTCACATCTCCGAGTTCCCCGGCGGCTCCGGCTCCCGCTCCCCTGGCCCGTCCAACCCCACGAGCAGCGGAGACTGGGACAGCAGCTACCCCAGCGGGGAGTGTGGCATCAGCACCTGCAGGTCGGTCCTCGCCCCAGCCCACCACTGTGCGGCCCTGGTCCTGCTGGTGCCAGAGAGGGGGACATGGGATGGGAAGGGACATGCCAAGGGATGGGAAGGGCCAGGTCACTGTCAGCCCCGCAGGAGAGCCTCGTGTGTGCTTTAAGAGAGGACGAGAGTGAAGCCAGGCCCCAGGTGGACTCAGCTGGTCTGTGCAAGGCCCGCTTGGGAAACTGAGGCCCGTCTTCCATCTTGCTTTTTCTCCTGCCATCCTGGTTTTTTCCTGAGGGGTTCCGTGTGACATCTACAGAATGTTTTCTGTCTTCGGTCAGGTTCCCTAGGAGCAGAGCCTGAGGCTGCAGGGGTTTGGGTGCCCTTGATGATGATGATGACATGTTGAGGGAGAGCTGGCAGGAGGAAGGGAGAGAGGGAAGCAGGACTGGGCAGGGGAAGGAGCTGAGCGAGGGTGTGGCCTCAGCTGGAGACTCGGTCAGCCCCATCCAGCTGGGAGCTCTGGGCAGGCATCCACCGGAGACGCCATCCCATCAGGAGCCCAGGGCTTCTGTACCCTGTGTCAGTCAGCCATTGGCTGTGGGCTGCCCCAGAGAGTGTAGCCCCCCAGGTAAGGCAGGTCCCATCCAGCCAAGGGTAGAGGGCAGCTGCGAGGGCAGGAAGGGATCGAGGTGAGCCACCAGGCAGTGTTGACCGCAGCCTGGGAGGAGAGGCCGACTACTGAACTCAAGGGATCGCCGAATTTAGTGGTACCCACACCAGCCCTGCAGCCCAGCATCGCCTTGACACGCAGACTCCAGCGCCACTTGGCTCCTCCCTGGTCCTCATCCTCAGGACATCCTCTCCCCTCCAGCCCTCTTAGCCTTTCAAACCCACGCTAATTGCCCCTCCTCTAGAAAGTCTTCCTGGATCCGTGCGACACCTCCTCCCAGAGTGACCTCATTTCGGCCAGCAGAACAGCAAAACAGAACTGAGAGACCAGGCTTGCTCCCTAACCCCACCAACCCCCACTCCCATTCCCCTGGCAGGAACTAATCCTGCGGCTGTGCCTGGGAACTGTGGTGCCAGGCTGCTGCCCCTGCAACAGCTCCACCCCTTGGGAGGTGGGACACTAACGTTTGGTGGACAGTTGCCATCTCTGCCACAGGCCAGCTGCCCCAGCCCTAGCTCTCGGCCTTCTGGCTCCTCCCCTGCCAAGCCTGCCAGCGAGCCAGCACACCTGGCACGGGCCCCAACTTCTGATGTGCCCGGCAGGAGAGTCTACCAGCAGGCGGCCTGAGCTCAGCAGGAACTCCCATCCCCCCCTCCCCCTCACCGCAGTTTCCCTCCCCGAGGGTCAGAGTGTGGAGGTCGGGGGGCTCCTTCGTGGACAGCCCAGAATGTCAGAGCTTCCCCAACATGGAGGGGCGATGACAGCAGTGCCCTATTTCATTCATTTATTTTAATTGACATATAATCGACGTATAGCGTTATGTTCGTTTCAGAGGTACAGCAGAATGATTTGCTGTTTGTGCACGTTGTGGAATGATCACCACAGTAAGCCTAGATATCATCCATTAGCACACATAGTTAATAACTTTGTTTTCTTGTGATGAGAAATTTTAAGATCTACTCTCTTGGCGAGTTTCAAATAGCAATACAGTATTGTTACTGCAGTCCCCTTGCTGCCCATGACACCCCCAGGACTTAGTTATTTTATAACTGGAAGTTTGTACCTTTTGACCCTCTTTTCCCGTTTCACTCAACCCCCCCCCCCCCCAACCTCTGACAACCGTCAATCTCTTCTCTCCGTCTATGAGCTTGTTGGGTTTTTTTATTCTCCACATAAGTGGGAACATAGGGTATTTGTCTTTCTCTGTCTGACTTATTTCACTCAGCGTAATGCCCTCGAGGTCCATCCATGTTATCACAAATGAGCGCCCTATTGCAAAAACATAAAAAGCACCTGCCCGTCTTTAATTCTGTTTGAAATTTATACGTGAAACACTGCGACCAAAAACTGAGCTGAGAACCCTGGCCGTGTTGGAACTGGCTTCCATGAAGGACGGACACACTGCTGCCACCTTCCCCCCAGGGTCCCGGGAGGGGTGTTAGGTTCTCCCCAGTGCACAGTCAAGGAGGGACCAGCACCTGCCCCTCACTCATCCTCAGGGGGGCAGCGGAGTCCAGGGTAGGGTGAAGGGCTAGTGAGCGGGTGTCCTGCGGCTGCCCGGGGCCCTGTGTCCAGGCCCCTGAGGGCCAGGCACCTGGGTGGGGTCGCCTTGGCTCTGACAGCCCCTCCTCTCTCCCACAGCCTGCTCCCCAGGGATAAATCGCTCTACCTCACCTAATCCCGCCTCCCCCTCCTCCCTGAGGCTTGCTGGAAGGGCACTGCTCAGAGCCGGAAGGGCCAACAGCAGAGAAAAGGCCTGGGCAGAAGCAGGGTGACAGAGAAGAGAGAGCAGTGACATGCCAATGCCCCAGGGCTGAGACTCTCCCTCGACCTCCCACCAGACTGCAGAGGCAGCCCGCCGCCCGCCGCCAGCCCAGAGAACCTGCAGGAACCTTCCGCCCCCTGACCTGCTTGCTCCAGGGTTACTGTGGCCCCCGCTCCTCGCCCTGCACACCGTACCCCATGTCTGGACGTCTGGCCCCAGCCCACGCGCCTGTGGGCTGCCCCTGGAGGGGTCGCTTACCGACAGAGACCCACCCCGAGATGCCTGGGGCAGGGGCCAGCCCAGCCACGGACGTGCAAATGCGGTTTTACAGTGTGAACAAAAGATTATGACCCTATGAACTGTTGGCTCCGTGTAAGTAGTTGACTAAGTGTTTTAGAACTGTGCTGAAGACATCTGTAAGATTATTTTGTGGGGGGAGAAAAGTAGTTTCCTTTAAGGTAAAAAGCATTTTATATGACCCTTAGCACATGTTTTTAAGTTTTATCTTCAGGGAGAGGTGCACAGAGCGGCTGCCAACCCGTTTCATCGTCTGTATGGCAAGAACCGGACAATTTATAGCCACACTCGGAGGCATTGTGTGTGTGTGTTTTTTTTTAAACCATCTATTTAAAATTGCCAACAATGACTTTTGTCTATTTAAGAAGAAGACTCAAGAACAGAAATGCAGTGTGCCCTAAAGCGTGCGTGGTTTGGGCTTTGGTTTGGGTTTGGTTCTTGGTGTTGTTTGCCGCTGTTTCTTGGCCCTGGCGAACGTGTGTCTCGGTGCCCAGTGCTTCTCTCAGACTCCTTTGTAATAAAACGTCTGAAAAGCTGAAAACAAGTCTGTTTCCTCTTGTACTGGCTCAGCCGGGGCCAGGCCTTCCGAAGTGCCATTCGCTGGTGGCTTTGCCAGGACGGAGCCCCTGGCGTCAGTCAGATTGAGGTAGAGGTCGTCCCTGCCATCTACCTGCCCCTGAGGTGGCTGTGGGTGATAGAGCCTCGCTGGCCTCCATCTTGCCGTCTGTAGAAGTGGCATAGTAACGGGTTGAACACGCAGGGTTCTTGTGATGGTTGAAGGGGCTTCTGGGCATAGAGTGCTGGCCGGGCAGGGAGCACTCATCAGCAGGTGACCGCAGTGCACCCTCCCACCACCCCACCGACGGAGCCTCTGTCTTCTGAAAGCTTTCAGTCTGTTGGAGGTGAGGGTGGGTTCAGGGTGGTGGGAGCCCAGGGGTTGGGGTGAGGGGTGGACTTCTCCAAACCTGAGCACAGCAAGCATCCCAGACAGGCGACTCTAAACCAGGTTTCCCGACAAATGTTAGGTGGTGATACTTCAAAAAAATAATAGTAATTATGTGACTATTTTAACTGTATCTGGAAAAATAACAATTGCCTGGTGTGGGGGAGCTTTTGGGAGGCTCCAGCTGTTGGGCCCCATGACACTACTATTTCGACATGGGCACATCCACTGGCCCTCTGAGCCAGACCCATGATCCTGACGGGAGCCCCCCTGGACAGCAGCCCTCAGGGCTGCTCCTTCATCGAACCCCGCCTTCTCCCAGATAACAGCCCGGGGGTGGGGAGGGGCGCCATTTCTCTGTGAGCAGTTTCCTCACTGGAGGGCATTTTGTAATCCACTTTGGAAAAAGAAACAAGAAAACCCAACCAACAAACACAAGCAACCCGCTGCCATGTGAGCAGCATCCTTGCAACACAAAGCATCAGTATTTCATGTGGCTACAATGTCCTCTCCTGTGGGGAGCTGGTCAGTAACACGGTGATGACTTAGTTTAATATTCAACTCTTGCTTCTACATTTGAGAAAACAGCATTATTGGAATCCGTGCAGACAGCCTGAAATAACAAGAGTGCAAGGCCATTGGGTTCTTGCTTCCAAGGCAGACACATCCACCTGCCTCTCATTGCTGTGCCAAGAGCTCAGGAGTCCTTTGGAAGTGCCTGCATGCCGAGGCTGGCCTCTCAGCTGCAAAGGATGCTCAGATGCCCAAGCAGTCTAAATACCCTGCCTACAGATATCAGGGATTGTCAAGTGGGTGTGTCCTGTGGCCCCAGACAATGGGACAGAGCCAGTGGTCGATGGAAGGTACAAGAAGGCTGATTTCCATGGAGTGGACGCCAACTATAGTGGGTGCTGTTAGCACCCCAACCAGATCCCTTAATCGGCCAGTGCCCATCCCCCAGCTCCTGAGTGTTGGCCGCTCACAAAGCTGCCCCCTTTGTCCCAGTCATTGCCCTGGCCAGGACGTGATGCCTCATCTCCCCAGAGCTGCCCTCTGCTAATGGAGCAGCCAACTCTGTGGTACCGTTCACGCTCCAGAGCTTCCTCAGGATCAGGCTGCAGCAGCTCTCCAGCCATCCTTGCTTAGCTTCTTCCCGACCCTACCCTGATCGCTTCCCTCCCTTTCCCAGCGTGCCCCCTCAATAAATCACTCTAACCAGAGTTCCCATCTCGGGCTCTGTCTATTTCTAGAGAAATAGACCTGTGATACTCGCTGAGCACAGTGGGGCCTCATCAGTAATGTTCCGTATTCTGTCACTGGCTCTGGCCCTACCTGCAGATGCAAGACTGTCAGCCCCTGAAACCCACCCAAACCTCGCCCAAGGGGGACTGAGGTTCCCACGTGTTTGCAGAAAGTTTCTCCCTCCTTGGAAGTAGTGTCTGCTGCATTCTTCCTATTCCATCCTGTGGTGGTGACAGCCACAACCCATGGAGCCACCGAGAGCCCAAGGCCACAACCATGGTAAAAGCACCAAGGCCTCTGCCACAGCTCCCACCCCCCGACCCCCACCCCCATGCTCCCAGAGCTGCCACCCTGGTTGCACAGCCTCAGAATAGACTGGGTACTGCCGTGGCCGTGGCACCCTCAACCTGCCAAGGCCAGTCTGTGGTCTGGACCTGCCACACCTCGAGCACCTGTTAGCCCCTGGACCCTAGAACAGTGCCCCTGACATTGTGAGGACCCTCAGCTCCTGCCTACAGCCTGGCCCACTGTCCGTGGAGCTCGCCCAGGGACCAAAGCCCCTTGTCTGTCCGAGTGCCAAGTGCCTCCTTCAGATTCCTCCATCACACACCTCCCCCAACAAACACAGTGGAATCCTCGCAGGAGGCACAGCCTGGACAGAGGCCAGCCCCAGGCCCAGGAGGGAAGTATGGCAGGTCCTAAGGTTGCCCAGCGGTAATCCATCCCCAGAGGGCTCCGTATGAATTTCCACATTAGACTGGAATGTGGGCATCATGGCGCGGAGGGGCCTTCCACTTAATCCTCAGAGTCCATGATGCTAAAATTCAATTTGCTGACTAAGCAAGAACACGCACAAGTGAGCAGTCAACCTCTGCCAGGCCCTCGGCTGGGCACTGGGGATGCCGAGTGGAATCAGACGCAGATTCCGTCCTCCAGGAGCTTCAGGTCTCGTTGGGGAGGCAGAGAAGGAAAATAATAATATTTAAAATTATAAAGTTGTACTTTATATTATATATCATAAAAATATAACAAATACTACGTGACCAGTGCTAAAAGAGGGAGGCAGGAGAATGCAGAAGAGGGGGCCCCACTCCAGCCGGGGTCTGCGGAGGCCTCCTGGGTGAGGTGACAGGGCTGTGCCCTGCACAGTGACCAGGACTGATCCCAAGGACTGACGGGCTTCTAGAGGGCTGTGCTTTCCTGATCCCAGTCCCCCAGAGGCTGTGGCTCTGTGCTGGTAGTCTCCAGAATTCTCTCCAGAAGAAAAGCTGAGGCTGCATCCACATAGCTGCGTGAGGATCTCTGAGTCAGGAACGGGGGCAGCCACCGTCAGGTTGAAGGCGAACCTCAGGCACGGTGCTTATTCCTGAGCCCTTGACCTCGGCATCCACCTCCTGGGGTCCGGCCAGCCCTGACTCCCGGTGTGGTGGGGTGGTGGAGAGTGGTGGGGGAGTGAGTCACGTGCCTGTGTGTTTCGCGTGTGGGGTGGATGAGGTGTGCACGTGTGGTGTGTGTGTCTGTGTGTAGTGTTTATGCATGCATACTTGGGCTGTGTATTTGTGTGTGGTGGTGTGCATCTCTTTTTCTGTGGTGTGCATATCTGTGCATGGTGTACTTGGTGAAAGCAAGAGAAATGTGAACACATATGTGGTGTGCATATGTGTAGCTGGTGTGCATGTGAGAGAGCATACACTTGTGCAGTGCACCCAAAACACGTACAGATGCATGCATACACGTACCACACACACCACACACATCAAATCCACACGTGGGCACGTTACATACCCCCACACCACACAAAAACATACACATTCACATCACACACGTGCATAGCACATCGGCATGCCCACCATACACATCACACACCACATGCACACAATGCCTATGCACACATATATGCCATGTGTGCATGTCATGCAATGACACACCACACATGTAAAAACATGCATACATACCTCACACACACACCACATTCACACACACAAGCCTTCCACACGCAGCTACCACAGGCACACAAACATCCCCCATACACCCACCCACTAGACACACAAGTGCATGTTGCACACACATGCCCATCACATGCACGCGCACACACACACACAAACCACCCAACTGTGCATACCAGTGCACAGCACATGCATGTACATACCTCAGTTAGTGTGGGAATAACGTGTTCTTGAAAGTTTGAAAGCACTCACATGCAAAAAAATCTGACAAGCTATTACAGACTCAGGGGTTTTAAAAAAATTGCCCAACCCATCAGATATTACTCAGCTCTGCTCCCCAAATTGCCCAAACCAGTAACCTCAAACCAACGAGAGGCTGGAGGGCTGTCGTGCAGAAAGAGGCCGGCCGGCGCGGTGGTGAGGAGCGGGCGCTGAGGGCACAGCCTGCCTGAGAGCGTCACTCTGCTGCCTCCAGGTGGGACGGCCTTGGGCAAGTTTCTCCCCTTCTGCATTTCCTCAGATGTAACTTGGGGATAATAATAGGCTCCTCTGCAAAGCGTTGTTGTGAGTAACAGAGTTAATACACGGAAACTTCTTAGAACAGTAATTATTATTATTGTTGTTGCTGTTGTTTAATCTCCACCCCAGAAGGCAGGTTTCGTGCATTCTGCACCAGTCAGGCTCGGCCAGGCTCGGCTGCAGGGACGACTCCGGACATCTCAGCGGTGTCACTCAACAGAAGTTTCTGGCTCCCTCTCGGGGGCTCCTCCTCCAAGCCTTCAAGCCGCGGGGAGCCAGGCCTCCTCTCCTGGATGCTCTGCAGCCGCCAGGGATGAGTGAGAGGGGGTCTCAGGGGACACCTGGGAGCCAAGGCCTGGAGGTGGCCTGCATTGCGGCTTCCGTGCTCATGGTCAGCAGGCTGGAGAGGCGCTGTCGCGCTGTGCCCCGGGCAGGGAGGGGGCTGCAACAGTCTGTGAGCTCCTAACGAGGCTGTTACCATATATTATAACAGATTTTCAGATGAGGAACGTGTTGCCCAGAGAGGTCAAGTTACTTGCTGGAGGTCAAATAATTTGTGGGGAGCTGAGAGTTAAGGTGACGTCTGTCAGACCCCGAATCTAGCCTCCCTCCGGGTTTCTCACACTCGCACGTGGGAAGATCCCGGGAGGCTGAGAGCTCAGGCACGAAAGCTCCGGGGCTTCTCACGAAGTCCCCCAGACCCTCGCTTTACACGCAATCCCCGCACGCTTTACTTTCCGGCCCTCAGCATGCTGGGAAGGTCAGAAAACCGCTCTGGGGGCCAGCGCACCAACACTGAGAAGCGAAGCTGGGCGGGGTGAGGAGGCGGGAGACCAGGAGAGCAGACGCCAGGACTCGAGCATTCTGGGGACAGCAGGTGCAGGTCAGACC